AACCCAGGGCCTCAGGCATGCAAGGCAAGCACTCTACCTACCACTGAGCCACCTTCCCAGCCCCTACTGCTCTGAATTCTTATGCAAGACTGTTGCTTGGGAATGGCCAGGCAGGGTCTTAAGTAGGGGTTCATGCTTCTTTCCCCGAGCTGCTGGGAGACCCTCAGTCCTGTCTCCTTTCAGGTACAGGCCTGCCTCTGGCTTAGGGGACAGGGCAAGCAGTGTTCAGGGCTGCCAGGCTTGGCTTTCCTGCCCTCAGGCACTCGTGACCTGGAAGGAGCCAATGGAGGCCAAAAACTCACAGAGCTGAAATGTTCTTGGTGGTGTTCCTACCCCCCACAGCAGCCCCTTCATTCAGGGGAGCCCTAGACTGCTTGGTTACTTCCAGTGGCAGGGAGCTTCCTGACTCTTGTATCTTAAGTTTCAGAGAGATCTTCCTTAAAATCAAGCTGGGCCGTGTTTCCTTAAGTTTTAAAACTTTCTGCCTCTTGGTGATATAGATGATAATGAAAATGGCTGCGGTTGACTGCAGTTACCTCCTTCCGGCCCGGCCCTGATAATCTTCTATTAAATCCTCTGCAGAAGCCTGGGGAAGTATGGATCATTATTATCCCAGTGGACACATGAGCCAGTGGGGACTTAGACTCATTAGTTTTCCCCTGAGCCTTATGGCTTCCAAATGCTGGGGCCAGAGACATCACGTGGGTCTTTGTGGCTCCCATTCTGTCTTTGCCCTGAGCATCTATGAATCAGTACGGTGGGCTGGTTGACCTTGGGAAAGTCACTTCACAAGTTAGGACATTGGTTCCTGTGCTTGTAATGCTGAGACACAGACTCAGATGTTCTCCCAAACCTTTTCATGCCCATCTACATCATCTTCAGGGAAGTGAAGGGTTCTATAGAACCACTGGTGTCATTTGAGCCATCTGGCCATTTGAGCCTGGACTATTATGAGTGGGAGGAAATAAAATGCCAGTTATTTCAATTTCTCATGAAACATGAAAGGGAAGGTCTATTTAATATTTTCCCTTCTGCCTATTGTTTATGGAGAGAGACCTGTGAAAATGACAGCAAAGGAGAAAGCTCCACCCTTTATGCTTTCATATGGCATTATTTTGTGGTTGTCCGTCTATTTCCTGGTCAATCCGGAATGTAATTTTAAGTCTGTCTTTTCTTTCTTTGTTTTTTTAAATTTTTTTTAAAAGAATGTACTCAATTTAGAGTGGACAGAATAGCAGATTCCTGTAATCCGAGCACTTGGGAGAGACTGAGCCAGGAGAATTTTGAGTTCAAGGCCACCTTGGCCTACATAGTAAGATCCTGTCTCAATAAAATTAAAAACAAAAAATAAGATGTTGGATGCATCCTAGATATTTATGAGGCTGAGATATGCGGATCAAGGTTTGAAGCTAACCTGGACATAAAAGTCTGTAAGACTCTTATTTCCAATTAGCCACCAAAAAGGTGGAAATGGAGGTGTGGCTCAAGTGGTAGAGTGCCAGCCTTAAACCAAAAAGCTAAATGACAGCATGAGGCCCTGGGTTCAGACATCACTGCTGGCAAAGGAAGGAAGAAAGAAAAGAAAGAGAAAGAGAGAGAGAGAAAGGAAGAAAGAAGGAAGGAAGGAAGGAGGAGAGAGAGAAAGGAAGGAAGGAAAGAAGGAAGGCAGACAGAAAGGAAGAGGGAGAGCTGGGTGCTAATGGCTCACTCCTGTAATCCTAGCTACTCAGGAGGCTGAGATCTGAGGATTGTGGTTCAAAGCCAGCCGGGCAGGAAAAGTCTGTGAGACTATTATCTCCAATTAACTACCAGAAAATCAGAAGTGGCACTGTGGCTCAAGTGGTAGAGTACTAGCCTTGAGCTGAAGAGCTAAGGGACAGTGCCTTGGCCCAGGGTTCAAGCCCCACAACTGACAAAAAAAATAAAAAATCATTTAACTCTCTCACTCTCACTCTCATACCATACCAGAGTAGAATTTTGCTGTGCTAGTCGTAGGAAGGAAGGGTTCCTCTGTGGTGTCTGGTGTGCACCCCAGGCATGCTGGGTCCTCTGGCACTGACCTTGCGTTCGGATGTTCTGGAGGATGAAGTACAGGTACTCGCCGCAGATGCCAGCTGCCTCGATGAACTCCTCCTGCGTCATGCTGCACAGTTGCGGGCCGCTGATGTTGAAGTGGCAGAAGGAGATGCAGTTGGCGTCCAGCTTGTACTGGTCACAGCAGAACTGTAGCCATTCCCACACGTGGCGCTTAGTCCAGTACTCGGGGTGGACTGATGTCCAGTAAGAGTCACAGGCTGCACCAAAGGAGAGACAAGGGAGGGATGATGGTCCCCATGGGTGACCTCAGGAGACCCAGGTAGGCTCATACCTTCATACCTCACCAAGTAGACTGAAATGGCTATGGGTGCTTATTGTTTTTATTTTTAGGGGTTCAGACCACCTCTTTTTTTTGCATAGACCATGAGAAAGGCATCCTGCAGATGGACTTTGGGGTCAGCAAGGAAAGAGAAGGTGAGGAATGACCAGATCATGTCTTGGTGCTAAGAAAGGGGTGGGGTGGGGGGTGGTTGGTAGAGGAGAAAAGCAAAGAGCATTTCTCAGTCATTTGGTTTTGGACAACAGGAAATTCAAGAACATAAACTGACAGGCCTGGGTTCAAATCCTTACTTGGCTAGTTTCCACTTGGGCAAGACTCATACATATTTGAGCCTTGATTTCCTCATCTGTAAAAGGAGGATAACATGACTAACTTACAGGGTTCTTATGGACTTTAGGGTTAATGTACATAGACGGATGCATGGGAAATAACCAATCTATTCAATGGTTCTTAAGTGTTCAATTTTCCATTCTGCATATGAAACTGGTTTGATTCCTTCTACTCTGGTTAGCTACCTGCTTTCACAGGCCTTCCTGGGCCACAGGCTGGGGAGGGTTAGATGTTGCTCAGAGTCTGCCAGGCCTTGGATCAATGCAACAGATGCCTGTGGAGTGAGGGGTCAGTCATGGCAGAGTTGGTTGTATCAGTGTCCTGTGTTTTTTGTTTTTTGTGGTGTTTTGAGAATTTGTCAAAGGAGATGTGTGTGTACACATCCAAACAGATGTGGCTGCCATCCTGTCTGGAAAGCTGGGAAGTGGCTATATATGGTCCAAGGACAGAGATTTGGATCTGAACAGCCCTGTTTCAAGGGGAAACTGAGAGTGTGTGGGTAGATTTAGAACCTGGAAGAGATAAGGTACCAGCAGTTAGTCAAACACTTTAATGCAAATAATTCTTACAACCACCATGGAATCCATTCACTATTTACATCATTGACATTCACCATTCATTATTTACATCCATCCATCTATCCATTTATCCATCCATCATCTATCCATCCATCCAACCATCATCCAATAAATGAGAGATCCAGTTTCCCCATTGGAAAAATGGGGATAATTGTAGTACCAATATCACAGAGTTGTTCTACAGATTAAATGACCTAATATTATGTCAAAGTTCTTAGAACAGGGCCTGGTAATTTAATGCTCCTATTATCATTATAATTTTGCATCTATTTTATGTGGCATAAGTAATTGCACATTAAAAATTCATGATAGAAGCTGGGTGCCAGTGGCTGAAGCCTGCAACCCTAGCTACTCAGGAAGCTGAGATCTAATGATCATTGTTTGAAGCTAGCCCTGGGCAGAAAAATCCTTTTGAGTCTCTTATCTCCAATTAACCATTCAAAACCCAGAATTGGTGTTGTGGCTCCAAGTGGTAGCCCACTAACCTTGAGCCCAAAGAGCTCAGAGACAGCACCCAGGCCCTGAGTTCCAGCCCTACAACTGACAAAAATATAAAGAAAGAAAGAAAGAAAGAAAGAAAGAAAGAAAGAAAGAAAGAAAGAAAGAAAGAAAGAAAGAAAGAGAGAAAGAAAGAAATTCATGATAGATAAGACACATTTAGTTTCTGTCCCCTGGGTGGTCACAGATAGGGAGCTGGGGGTTGGGTTGGGGTGAGTAAATCTTAGGAGAGCTCATGACCAGTATAAGGCAGAGCTGGGATTTGAACTTCATTTTCTAAAATCATCAGGCTTGTCCTCAGAGGAAGGGAGTGAGCATGGAGATAGGCTGAGTGCTGGAGAAAATGAGAAGGTCTGAGGGGAGGGGCAGAGAGGTAAGCTCAGGACTCAGGGATGAAAGGAAGGAAGGGTCATCCTCATTAGACTTCACAGCTAGTGGCAGTGGTGCCATTGCTATACTCCATTTAAATGCTGCCTATGCTGTCTCTGTCCTTAACAGAGCTGTGGTGCTGCTGAACTCCGCCAGGAGATGGCGCTCTACCCTGCTGGAGGCTTTTGTAAGCATTCAAGGTGCTGTGTCCTTGTCAACATCATTATAAGGTTGTCAAATCTCCCCAACAAGCCCACCAAATAGGTGTGACTGGAAAGTGGAAACTAAGGCTCCTCCTAAAAGCTCAGGACCCTTCTAGAAATCTCTTTTCTACTGGGAAGTGGATTGAAGGGTAGTCAAGTCTAAGCAATAGATTGGTTGAATTTTATTTATTTTGTGTGCCAGTACTAGGGCTTGAACTCAGGGCCTCATGCCCTTGCTCCCTTACCTCCAAGGCTGGCACTCTACCACTGAGCCACTTCCAGCTTTTTGGTGGCTAATTGGAGATAAGAGTCTCATGGACCTTTCTGCCTTGACTGGCTTTGAACTGGGATTCTCCTATCTCAGCCATCTGAATAGAAAGGATTGCTGGGATAAGCTACCAGCATTTGGCTTTGATTTAAAAATTTTTGATAAGTTTTTTATTGTGAAAATACTGTACAGAGGGGTCACAGTTACATAAGCAAGGTGATGAGTACATTTCTTATCAAGGATTGTTGCCTGATTTTAAAATTAAAATTAAAAGGTTTTTTCTCCTTCCTTCCTTCCTTTCTTCCTTCCTTCCTTCCTTCCTTCCTTCCTTCCTTCCTTCCTTCCTTCCTTTTCTGCCCTGGGAATTGCCTCATGTATATTTTACCACAGAACTATATATATATCCTTAGCTCCTTAGAATTTTACATGAATGTAGATGAGACAATATCTCTGCCAGGCTGGTGGATGGAAGAATGATGGGGCGGGCAGGACCCAACCATCCTGTTCTTGCTCCTGGTTTCTAGTTAAAGCCAGTTTCCCAGATCCATGGCAGGTACTTTGAGGCAGGAAGGGCCTCATGGGAAAACATAACCCCTTCCTGCGTCCAGTCCATGAGTCCAGTCTATGTGTTCATCTACTGATTTCTGGCCTTTGGCCATTCCTGGCTTTCTGATGGGAGATGTTTATGAGCCTTGACATTCTTCAGCTGCTGGTCTTGTGCTGGGCCCTGTACAAGATGGCTATCAGTGGACTGCTGTGGGAAGGCAGACCAGAACAGATTTCTCTTCATGGAAACATTTCTCTGAGTCTCTGTTCCCTGCCCCTCTCCACTTCCAATGCCTTCTTATTTTCCTTGGCACTTGAAGGAGACCATATTGTTTCTGGAAGTCAAGAGGGCCTGAAGGATTCTGGGAAGTGCTAAGTGGGGGGTTGACTTGACATCAGGAAGGTGTTGCTGGCTAGGCTGCCACTTTCAGCTCGCCTGTGGAGCTCACCCACTGAGCAGGCTTTGTGTGAGTCTCTGGGCCTGGAGGGGAGCCAGGGCAGTTCTCATCCAGCAGCCCCTAGAGCTGACAGGAAAACAGCTGTTCTCAGGGACATGGAGGGGGCGCATGGGAACCAGCATGCAAGGGGGCTTTTTGGTTGTGGTGTTCTTGTACTCCTGTCCTCAGGATGAAGACGGCCTCTGGGGGAGGCTGAGGAGGTGAGACCGTGCAACTCATGGCTCACGGCCATCTTCCTTTCCCCGTCGTTCCCTGTTCTCCTCCATAGGCTCCTCCCCTCCTCTGAGTTCCCATTCCTTTCCTGAGCAATTCTGCTCATCCCCAACATGGCCGCTCATTTGCCTCGCACAGAGCTTTCTCGCAGGTGGCCTGCTTGGAAAGTTTTGGGAGGATTCACAGAACCTCCATGGCAGCCCTTGAGCTCCCGAAACAGAGGAGCATGGCCCAGCTCACAGTTGGTGCTTAATAGGCATCATCATGTAATCTCCAGTGATTTTTATTGGTGAAGACGCAGAGGTTCTGTGGAGTTACACAGCCTTCTAAGGGCACAGAGGTAGTCAGAAAGGGAGTTGGGTTCTCTCTAACTCCTCTAGCTTTGGATGTGGGTAATACATATCATCATCACACCTCTCTTGAGGAAGGCTGGGCGCAGGTCTTGAAGAAAGATTAAAACAGGATTTAGAAGAAACACACACACACAATCAGAGAGAGAGAGAGAGAGAGAGAGAGACAGACAGACAGACAGACAGATAGACAGACAGAGACAGAGACAGAGACAGAGGGCGGGGGGAGAGCAAGCATCTCAAGTAGTCCAGGCATAGCCCAATTTTGAAAGATCAAAGCAAAGGTGGATAATGCTAGTATTTCCAAATCCCAGGAAAAACAATCTTTTAGGCTGGGTAAGGTGTCATATAGCTGTAACCTCAGTATTTAAGAGGCTGAGGCAGGCAGATCCTAGAGTTTGAGCCTAGTCTAGGCTCCACAGTGAAATCCTGCCTCCAGAAAAAAAAAAAAAAGGACCTTTCTCCTGCTATTTGCGGGAGATGAACTTAGAACAAATTAAAAGAGGGTTACACAAGTCAAAAGAGGACATACTGCCATCTCTGAAAGAGTCATTATATTGTCTGCAAAGCATTTTCCTTAATGTACCTATTATCAGAGAGGCTGAGCTATGTGGCCTCTCTGCCCACATTACTAGTTGAACCTGGCTGGTATCCTGTATCAGTAAGCTTAATCCAAATGTCCACAGGCCACTATTAAGCAGCAGGCTTTGCTAGCTCTTTTGAAGTCTGAAGTGGGTCAGGGCACTTTCGTTTGAGGGCTGGTTCCATTGGGAAAGATGAGTTGGTGAGGAGCTCCAACAAGGGCTAATTTTCATAAGGATGCTATCTATCTGCTAGTATTTACTTAAGGGCAGTAGGTGTGTAGCGTTCAGAGCAGGGGGCTGATGTGCTTCTGTTTCTAAAGTCAGCAGGTCTTGTCCACACTCCTATGGCCCTTGGTGGGGACATGTGTGTTGGAAAGTTCATACAAAATGAGAGTTCACTGCCTAGTTCCAATTGTGCTCAGAGGAATAGGGACTTGCTTAGTGGGTAGCTGGGTGGGGACCAAACAGAGCAAAGCAAGCTCAGGGGTTGGTGAGGGGAGACAGTCTGCCTCCGAGGCCCGGAGTGAGACAACTGCAGGCCATAATTAGCTCGGTTTATTAGCATAGGGAGTTGGGAAAGTGTTTTGCCTGGGGCTGCGCTGAAGAGAGGTGGTGAGTGAACTGGGCCATCAATGGAAGCTTTGTCACCCAAAGGAAAGACTTTATGAGGGGAAACCTGTGAGGATAAACCGGATAAATTGTTTCCAGGTTTCCTTCTCAGCCTGTTCCAACAGCCTTTCTTGGCTTTCTGTTCAAGCCTCTTGAGGGCCTTAGACTCTGAGATGGGAAAATAAAACCCAGGAGCAGTGTAAGAAATTGGCTGGAGAAAAGAGGAGAAGGGATGGCAAAGGGCCTCTGCTTTGGGAACCCAGCCCTGAGTGTTTCGGAACCATAGCTTTCCCAAAGGTGGACACGTGAGGACAAACCAGAGACAGAATCCCCTGGGATGTGACTGTCACCATGGAGCTCATCTCAGACTGGTAAATTCTGTTGCATCTGTTCATTGAAGTTTGATAAATCATTCCCAGATGTGTACCACTAAGTCTCCTCTCAGATTTCTAGAACCAGCGTATCAGTCTTGCTTTGAAAAGCTCTTGTGGGATCCAAAAGCCTTTCTACCTGATTTTCTGAATATTAATACTTTGATCAGTGTTTTTCCATTTAAATTTTTCATGTGGGTATGCTGGTCCTGGGGCTTGAACTCAGTGTGTGGACACAATCTTTGAACTTTTGTACTCAAGGTTAGTGCTGATTGACCCACAGCTCCACTTCTGGATTATTATTATTTTTTTTTTTGGTGGTAGTAGTTAATTGGATATATGAGTCTCAGGGACTTTCCTGCCCAAGCTGGCTTTGAACCATGATCCAAAGATCTCAGCCTCTTGTGTAGCTAGAATTATATAGATATACCCAGCTTAAAAATATTTTTATTGGCACATATTAGTTCTACAAAGGGACATTAATTTTTAAAGAAAAATCTCTTAAAATTAAATCTCACTTTGGATATTAAAAGCTGATATATTCATTGAGTACATTGTATCTATCAGTATGAACACTTGTATTCTCTTTTCACTCTATGTGTGTGTGTGTGTGTGTGTGTATGTGAGAGGGAGAGAGAGGGAGGAAGAGAGAGAGAAAGAGAGAGAGAGAAGAGAGAGAGTTTGAACTCAGGGCCTTGTACTCTTGCTTGGCACTTTTGCTCAAGATTGATGTTTTGCCACTTGTACCATGCCTTAACTTTAGGCTTTTTGCTGATAAAGTGGAAAGAAGAATTTCACAGATTTGTCTTCCCTGGCTATCTCTGAACTATGATCCTCAGCTCTCAGCATCCTGACTATCTAGGATGAAAGGTGTGAGTCACTGGCACTGGGACATAGTGATAATGCTTTATTTTGAAAAAGCTGAAGTCAAAAGCAGTGTTGAACAGATGAAATTCTCCAGTATTTTGCAAGCAGTGGCAATTTGCTTTCTAGCCATCAGTGCAGCCAAGCAGAAGTACCACTTTTAAAAGTGGAGCAGGCCAGAGTCCCTTGGGGTGAGCACATTGAAAGCACAGATTCTGTTGCTTTCTGCTGCCTTCTTCTGAAAAGGTTTGCAAATGGCTGGATTGACTGTACCAGCTGAGCCTTCCTTTTTGGCCACTTTTAGATGTCACTTGTCTTGAGGGCCCATCCCTGCTTCTCACCTCCCTTCTCTTGGTCTCAGAGCACCTACACTGGCAATGTTGGAAGAGGCAAGGTTGTGATTGAGAGCTGTGTCGCTTTGTTCAGCTGAAGAATGAACCCAGAAGAGCTGAGGGGTGCTTCCTACCTCTCCAGTCATTGCTAAGTGTTCCTGGCTACATGTATCCTTACCAAGTACCAGGGACTTGCTAAATACTTTGCAGACTATGTTTCAACCCACCCTTCCAACTTGAGGAAGCATACATTGCTAAGAGAAGAAACAGGTATCTCATAAAGCTTGCTGGAGGGCTGAGAATGTGGCTTAGTGGTAGAGTGTTTGCCTCCCATGCATGAGGCTCTGGGTTTGATTCCTTGGGACCACATACATAAAAAATAAATAAATAAAATTAATTAAACAATTGAAGCTTGAAAAAAAAACTTACTAGACTAGGGTTATAACTCAGTGGTAGAGAGCTTGGCCAGCATAAACAAAAACCTTTGTTCCATCCCCACGGCTATAACAACAAACCAAGGCAGCTGGGTGCCTGTGTTTTATGCCTAGAATCCTAGCTACTCAAGAGGCTAGAGATCTGAGGATAAAGCTGGAAGTGAAGCTGTGGCTCAAGTGGTAGAGCGGTAGCCTTGAGCAGAAAAGACAGCTAAGGACAGCGTCCAGGCTCTAAGTTCAAGCCATATAGCCATCTCTCTTGTCTGTCTGTCTGTCTCCTCTCTCTCTCTCTCTCTCTCTCTCTCTCTCTCTCTCTCACACACACACACACACACACACACACACACACACACACACTTCAGAAGTGGAGCTGTGGCTAGTGTAGTAGAGAGTTAGATTTGAGGGGAAAAAGAAGTTCAGGGATAGCATCTAAGCCCTGAGTTCAAACTCCAGTGTTGGTGTGCACACACACACATATACCCACACACACCCAAAACCATCCAAACTAATCAAGCAACCCAAACTTGTTGGCAGTAAGCCAGCATTTGAAGTCAGACTCCAACAGGAAGCTGACCTTAGGATAATTCTAGCACTTGCCATCCAAGATGGAGATTCTCATGAGATAGAGACACTTCTGATGTCTCTGGCCACTAAACACTGAATATTCGCCAAATCCTGGCTATTCTTGACACATCCTTGGTTGGGAGGGTTTTTCCCCCCCAGAAGAAACTTGGACCACTGTGTCAGCTCTCTGGTGGTGATGTCTTTGTCCAGAGAGATGCTCACTTACGAGGACTAACTTCGTAGTCAACTTTGACTTTTAGGAGGTCAGAGATATTCAGCTGCTTCTGAAATCCCAAGCCCTGTCATCTCTCAGGGAATGTTAGAAATTCTGACTGCTCCTGAAGGATGTTTTATTTTCGCTGGTCTCACACTCTGGTGGAAATGTCTGTCCTCTCAAAATGATAGAAGGGAAAGGGTATGCTTGCAATGTTGCTTGATGCAGGATTTAGAGAAACTTCTGGGGGAAAAAATCCTCACATTGACTCAGTTCTTCTTCTCATGCATTGATGGAAATAGAGAGGTTTCAGAGAATCTAAGACTTGGACAGTGAAGCCACAGAGTGAAGCTGGAGTTAATGCTCTTGAAATTTTTTTAAGTGTGGTCTAATCTACTTCACAGCACATTTACTTTTTTAACCCCTTTAAGTGTAAAGCCCAGGAACATTAAGTTTATTCCATCCAGCTCTGGAACTTTCTCATCAATCCCAAGGCACGAATCCACTGCTTTTATAAGCACCTGCCTGTGCTGGTCCTGGGTCACATCACATCTCAAACCCTTCACAAATTATTTACTAATTTTAGTTTCATTACAACTCTACAAGGTTGGCATTATTATTGTCTTCACCCCCTCCCCAAATACACAGCAGAAGATTGGTCCTATGAGAGGCTGAGTGGCCTAGAGAGCAAATGTCAATGCAGTACTTCACGTTTAGGATGAGGTGTGTGTGTGTGTGTGTGTGTGTGTGTGTATGTGTGTGTGTGTGTGTGCGCGTGCGCGCTCAGGGCCTGGACTCTGTCCCTTAGCTTTTTCTCTTAAGGCTGATACTCTACCACTTGAGTCACAGCTCCACTTCCAGTGTTTTGCTGGCTAATTGGAGATTAAGAGTCTCTCATACACATTCCTGCTGTGTTGGCTTCCAATTGAGATCTTCAGATCTTATCCTCCTGTACAGTTTAGGATTATGGGCTTGAGCTACCAGTGCCCAGCTGGAGGGTGAATTCTTGACAACTACAGAAACATATTTCAACACTTGAGCACTGCCTGGGTGGGCATCTGCCTGGGAGGTGAGTTCATCCTCCCATTGCCTTTCCAACTGCTACCCAACAGAGCAGGCAGGAAGGGGCTCGTGCCAGGGTAGGTCTGGAATAACTGTGGGATGGCCTGATGCCTGGGTGGGTAGAAGGATGGGAGTCAGGCTTTCCCAAGGTGGGGCACATGTGGAAGATTGGAGACCCTGAATCTGGCAGTGCAGCCCTGGCCTCTGGTTCTAGAGGCTGGGCCTTCACCTCAGAAGCTGGGTGGCTCCTCATGGTACTTCTTGCCTTGGGAATCTAAGTTTGGACTCTGGCAGGATACAAAGAGTTGATCTCAGCAAGGAAGGACTGACAGCTTGGTTGGTGTTTGCTTCCCCTTGCGGGGTGTGCACTCGCTACACCAGCAGCCAGCCAGCTTTGCTGCCATCTGCAGTCACTCAGACACTGACTCAGGCACAAAGGCCTCAGAGGATTTCTGGGACAAAGCTTAGCTGGCTTCCCTCTGGCATAAGATTTGCATTAGGCCCCAGCTTCCTTCTCAGCTGGAGAAAACTGGGCTGAGAGGGAGGAGGAAGGAAGGGAGGGAGGTGTGGGGACAGTAAGGGTTTAATGAGTGTTGCTTTGGGCCAGGCTGTGTAGTCCACATGACACTAGGAGGAGGTGGAGGCAAGGGTTCCAGGCCTTTCCTTCTGTGAGAGGCTGCGTTCCCTCCTCATTGGCTTCTCCACAGCCTCTGTCCGGATCACAGATGTTTCCAGGCCCCTATACAGCCTGTCATACACCTAAGCCATTCCCAACCTTTCCAGCCTAGCCCAGCTGCCCTCAGATGGGCTTCTGCGAATGTACGTACCTGTCTGATGCTCAAAGGCAGGGTAATACTCTTCATTGCCAAACAGGTCGGTCCACGACATGAGGGGGTCGCAGAAGGACGTGTTGGGAAGAAAGGTGCTGTGTGTCACCGAGTCCAACATCACCCTGGAAGAGAGGAGAGCCCGTGAGAAGGGCCAGTGGGTGGGCTCCCAAAAGCTATGCATGTGGAAGTCTCTAGCAGAGTGCTCCCTATAGGTTTGTTGTTGTTGTTTTGTTTTGTTTTTGTTATTGAACTCTGGGCCTGGGTGCTGTCCCTCAGCTCTTCACCTCAAGGCTAGCGCTCTACCACTTGAGCCATAGTGCCACTTCCAGCTTTTTCTGCTTATGCGGTGCTAAGGAATCAAACCCAGGGCCTCATGCATGCAAGGCAAGCGCTCTACCACTGAGCCACCTTCCCAACCCCTTTTGTCGGTCATGGGGCTTGAACTCTGGGTCTGGGCGCTGTCCCTCAGCTCTTCAGCCCAAGGCTAGCACTCTATCACTTGAGCCACAGCACCACTTCTGGTTTTCTGGTAGTTAATTGAAGGTAAGACTCTCATGGATGTTCCTGCCCGGGCTGGCTTCGAACAGTGATCTTCAGATCTCAGGATTACAGGTATGAGCCACCAGTGTATGGTTCTATAGTTTTTTTTTTTCCCAAATAAAAACTATATATATTTTTATTGTTACTGTAGAGTTGATATACAGAGGGGTTACAGTTAGAGGTATCAGGTAGTGAGTAATAAGTACAATTCTTATTGTACCATGTCTCTCCTTATGTGGTTCGTTTTCCCTCCCATCCCCACCCGTAAGATATCCAGTTCACTTTCCACATATTGCCTACTGAGTACCATTGCTGTAGCTGCTCATCCTTGTTCACTTCTTTATGCCCTTCCCTAGCCTCCCAAATACAAGCAAATAAGCAAAAGGAAAGGAAAACAAAAACAGCAACAATGACAGCTAAAGAATGTCTCTTGTTTCCTTTTCTTGGAGTCCATTTCATAGAATATTATTTTATATGGTCATCTGTGCACAGATATTGTCTTTGTCTATGACTCCTGTGCTTAGACTCCTTTGGCTTCTGTATGTTAATGATTAGGGTCCCATATAACCTATCATGCCCCAGTGTTACTTATTCATATATTAAAAAAAAGAAACTGGGAAAGTGGTGTGGAGGTTGAAGGAAGAGATTATGATAAAAAAAAAACTAAGTCTTCTAGAATCTGGTTAAAGAAATCACTGAGTAGCTGCAAAACAACAAACAACAAGAAATATAGCAGCCGGTACTGTCTTCCCTCAGTTGGATTCTTTAAGCCTCACATGTTGTTTGAACCCATTATATAGATGGCAAAACTGAGGTAGGGCTGAGATAAGTACCTAAGTAACAACGAGCAAGCGACAAGCTGGGATTTGAAGATGGAGGCCTCATTAGGCACGGCTGCCTCTCTATGTACTTGTCCCATCACCTCACATTTGACCTTCAGAACTTTGACATATAATATTTGACAGTACACTTCTCAAAATGGAACAAGATTGGCTGTATGTACAATGTGAAAACTTGTAAGCTCTGAAAACAAGATGTGTGTGTGTGTGTGTGTGTGTGTGTGTGTATGCGTGCGTGTGCATATGTATTTGGTGCCATCTTATTTTCCGGTAGAACAGTCCTAAGCTGTAGTTTTCTATACATTTGTGTGTTTATGTCTATGTACACATACATATAAAATTATTTGTGTTAAATATGGCTCATGCCCGTAACTCTAATATCTTAGGAGGCTGGGACTTGACTATCATGATTCAAAGCCAGTCCAGGCAGAAAAGTCTGTGAGAATCTTAATCTCCAATTAACCAACAAAACACTAGAAGTGGGGGGTGTGGCTTAAGTGGTAGAGTGACAGTCTTAAGCAAAAAACTAGGGGAGAGGAACTTGGCCTCTGAGTTCAAGCCTCAGCACTGGCACAAAATACAACATAACACAACACAGCAAAACAAAAACTATGTTAAATAGCTTTATGGCTACTATTATAGCTCTATTTATTGTACTTAGGGAATATTCATGTTATGTGCTGCTAAGATATTAATGTGTTGGAACGATGTTGGAGGCTGATGTATGTTCATACAGTGCTTCACCTTCTTAACATGTGAAGATTTCTGAAGGTTACAGTACATCCTGTCCCAGGGTTTTAAAGAGGAGCATGTCAAAAAGTGACGTTTGTGCTCTATGCAATGTACTCTAGTGTTGCATCTCCATGATTCATGGTCTTAGGAGAACCATTCTGAGGAAGGTATGGCAGTGGAGTTTCATTGTGCAGATGAGAGGTAGGGGCTCTGAGATTCCAGGGAGCAAGTGCAAAATCTACCTAGCTGGCAGGGGACAGTGGCCGGATGGGAGCTCAGGATGGCCTGTTTAAAAAGCTCATGCTCTGGAATGGAGATGAGTACTTGCCTAGAGACTGTGAGGCCCTGAGTTCAAAACCCAGTATAACTGGGGTGGGGGAGGGGGGCTCATGATCGCAAATACTGAGCTTTGCTTCCCAGGCACACTGCTTAGGGATGCTCCAGGAACGGTGTGTGTTTGAGCTTGGAAAGAGAGCAGAAAACATCTGACCTGTGGCTCCATTCAGACTCTTGTCCATGCCAGTCTCATCTTTGCTGCTTCCCATATTCCCACAGTTTGACAAAAAGAACTGTATTTGGTAGATTAAAAAATTGATTCATGGGCTGGGAAGGTAGCTCAGTGGTAGAGAGCTTGCTTTGCATGCATAAGACCCTGGGTTTGATTCCTCAGCACCACATAAACAGAAAAAGCCAGAAGTAGTGCTGTGGCTCAAGTGGTAGAGTACTAGCCTCGAGCTGAAGAGCTGAGGGACAGTGCCCAAGACCTGAGTTCAGGCCCCACAACTGATCAAAAAAAAAGGAAAAAAAAAGGGAAAAATTGGTTTATACAATTTCTGTTTTCTGAGTGCTTGTGCTGTGTGTGTGTGTGTGTGTATGTGTGTGTATGTGTGTGTGTGTGTGTGTGTGTGTGTGTGTGTGTGTGTACACGTGATGCCGGCCAGTACTGGGGTTTGAACTCCGGGCTTGGCTTTTCTTGCTCAAAGCTACCACTTGAGCCACAGCTCCACTTTTGTCTTTTGGCTGATTAATTAGAGATAAACGTTTTAGACTTTCCTGCTTGGGCTAGTTTTGAAACATGATCCACAGATCTCAACCTCCTGAGTAAGTGGGATTACAGGCATGAGACAACAATGCTGAACTTTGATTCTTGATGTAGTGTTAATGAACTAGGCTGTTTTGACCCCAATCTAAATGAAGGACAGGGAAGCTAAAAGTTACACCACTGGCAAATATCAGCACAAAGACCAGAATCCAAATTCTGGCATATTAAAAGAGAGTATCTTAAAATGGTCAGGATTTGCTGGGCTCTATGACCTGTAATCCTAGCTACTCAGGAGGCTGAGATATGAAGAATGTGGTTTGAAACCAGCCTGGAGCAGGAAAGTCCTTAAGACATATCTCCAATTAACCAGCAAAAAGCCATAAGTGGATCTGTGGCTTAAGTGGTAGAGCATTATCCTTTAGCATGAAAGCTCAGAGACACCACTCAGGCTCTGAGTTCAAGTCATAGGCATATGAGCATATGTGCACATGCGTGCACGCACACACACACACATACATATACACGTCAGGATTTTATCCATTATGTAGTCTAGTGTTCCCAAAACAATGATCATTTGCCTATTACCACAATTACTTTATTCAATCCATACACTTTTCTGGGCACTATTACTTACTTAAAATATTTAAAATAATTCAAATGTGTCTCTTTAAAAAGAAAACTTTGCCACTTTAAATGAAAACTTATTATTCTTTTAGTGAACATAAAAATAAATATGCAGGTAGAAGCAGGAAGATAATGAAATCAAGACCAGCCTGAGCAGAGCCAATATGATTCTATCTGAAAACAAAAACAAAATACAAGCTAGGCATCAGTGGCTTATATCTGTAATCCTAGCTACTCAAGAGGCTGAGATCTGAAGATCCTAATTCAAAGCTAGTCCCAGGCAGGAAAGTCCATGAGACAACTTCCAATTAATCAACAAAGTGCCGAAAGTAGAGGTGTTGTTCGTGTAGTAAAGTACTATCCCTGAGCAAAAAACCTAGGGGACAGTGGTCAGCCTCTGAGTCCAAGCCCTGGTACCAGCACAGAAAATAAAGAAAGAAACAAAAGAAAATATAAACCAAAGGGCGAGGAGATATGGCTCGGTGGAAGGCTGTTTGCCTAGCATGTGCAAAGACCTGGGTTCAATTCTTAGTACTGCCAAAAAAGAGTATAAACACACACACACACAGATAAACAGAAATTGTTCATCCATGTTGGAAATGAACTATATAACTGTAGGTGGGGGAGGGAAGGATAAAACTGGGAGAAAATGAGGGAGAGGGTCACACTGTTCAAAAGGAAACGTACTCATTACCTGACATGTAACTGTAACCTCTCTGTACCTCATCTTTACAATAAAAAATATTTTAAAAAGATGTTCATTCATGCCCCACCCTAAACCAGGGGTTAACAAGATACAATATACAGGCCCAATGCAGCCTACACCTAATTTTTTTATGTCCTGTAACCAAAACCTTTTTTTTTCCCCACTGAAAAATACACAATTGCATAACGTTGTTGATTTTGCATTTTGGCCTGCAAAAATGCAAAAAAGTTTGAGAAGGGTTTGTCAACCTCTGGGCAGAATCAACTTGCCCTTGACCTGTGCTTTGAGAAACCAGTACTGGAAAATAGTGGAATGTTGCCATCTTTGCTCTTACCCTACCTTTGTCTGGGAAAGGGAGTGGAATCCCAGGCCACAGAGTTAACTTGGAGTGAAGCCCTAAGTTCCCCAGTGCTTGGCCTTCCTTTTCTAAAGGAGGTGAATTAGATCAAAGTAATACATATATATATATATATATATTATATTTATTATAAAAATTATCCATATAATTTAATATATTATATAATGTATATATGTATATAAAACATATTATATACATATATATACATATAACAATGGAACACCTTTGTACAATTTATATATGCTAACAAGAGGAAAACACAGAATTACAAAAAAAATGAAACAGCTACATCTCAGGCACAAATGTATGGTGATCCTAAGAGATCAAGAAATTTCATGATTCTGGAAGCAAGGATGAATTCTTTGGGTCTGTTGGCAAATTTCTCATCTTAATCCACATCCAGTGTGTGTGAGAACTAGACATAAATATAAAACAGTTTGATTCTCACTCACATCAATATAAAGCAGTTTGATTCTCACTCTGGGACACCATTTTTGGGCCAGTCAAAAAAATCGCCATCTCTTCTCCAAAGTCATCTTGATGCCAGGATAGGATTAACAGGGTCTGGCAGTTATCACAGCCATAGATCTATCAATCCCAAGCCAAGGCTGCCTGAGTCTGAGCTCTGATTTTCCCACTGATTGGCTGATTTTATATCCTGAATTGGAGGGCCAGGATGAATGGAGTGGAAGGTTATAAAGCAGGCAAAGATCTCTGAAACCCAAAGCTATATCTGCTTTCTGGATGGGATGCTAGTAAAGTAATTCTCAGTGAAAGCTAAGAAGGAAAATATTCTTCTTCCCTTCTGGCCTAGAGAATTGAAGAATAGGATGGCAGCCTACTGGCATGACTGGTTTTTAAAATATACCATCTTCCTGTTTTTATTAATGTGATGTACAGAGGGGTTACTGTTTCATAAGTCAGGTAACGAGTGCATTTCTCTTTTGGACAATATCACCCCTTCCTCAGTTCCCCACCCCCAGTTTTCTCCTCTTGTCCCTGTGCACAATTGCATAGGTCATTTTCTACATGGCGTCCACTTGAATGCATACTTGCATTTGTTCATCCTTCCTCCCTCCATTTCTGCTCCCTTCTTGTCCCTTCGAAAGACAGAAAAAAGAACAAAACAAACCATCCCCCCACAAAGGAAAATAAACACCACCACCACCACCAATGTTTCCATTTCCTGGCATTTATCTTGATAAATACTATTTTAAATGTTTACAGGTGTTATGTCTTTGGGTTTCTCCCCTAAGAATATCCTCCTTTAGCCTCACTGTTTGTGTGTGAATGCCTAGAGTCCTGTATAATTTATCATGGCATGACCACTTTTGAGTTCGGAGAAAGAATAGGTAGATGCCCCAAAGAAAGAAGACAGAACAGAGATTACAGGCCTTCCATGTCAATATGGAGTCAGTCCGTGAAATACCAAAGCCAGCCTCACTTCAAGTGAGATGTTCCTGACTAATAGTTTTCAAAAATCACTTGGTATTTTGAAAGAACTTCATTTGGTCAATTGAGTTTAATTATGTCAAAATCAGGACTGATTTTGATCAATTTACCTTTCAGGATTCTGATCTCTTTCCTCCAGCCTGCTCTCTCCATCTAGCAATCTCTGCTGGGCTACACACACCATGCTGGATCTGATTCCCTTCTCTGGGAAATTATACCCATTAGTTTTCCTTAAAGGGCTCTCCTGGGTATACAACATGTTATTTCACTTTCATAATTGTTACTTGCTTTTTTGGGGAAAATGCCTTTTATGAAAGCAATGAAAGTTTCTTTCATTCTTTGTGTTAAGCCATTGAAGTAGGAGGAAGTGTTTTTAACTCTGGGCTTGTCACAAAAGGCCTGGGCCACTTAGCCAGCATGCCCTAGGTGTGTGAGTTCAGGAATAATAGTTGCTTTGTGTTCCGAAACCTCTCTTCTTTAGGCCGTTGTACTAATCGAACACTTCTGCTCTTACAGCGTTTCTTTCATGTAGGTGGAATAGGGTGGGTGGGAAGGAACAGAAGTGTGGGGCCCATGTCTCAGTAAGAGCATCGAGGCTCAGCGTTTCAAAAGTCTGTGCCTTTGGTTCCACCAGCCATTCGCAACAAGGGTGATGGTGGAAAAAAGCCTCCACAAGGGAGATCCTTCTAATTAGGTTGCGTCTGTACAGGACAATAAGGGGATTCTAGGACTTCTTTGGGCTGATGGTTCAGCCACACTTTCCATTTGAGGTATTGGCTTGTCATCTTGAAGAGCCCTGAACTTGGAGTCACAACTCTGTCTCTTCAACCAACCTCAGCTTCAGCTACTATCAGGTGTGGAGAACATCCATCCTGAGAGTTATAGAAAGCTGGAGATGTTCTATGATACACAAAGGGACCGGTAGGTAATGCTTCCTGTTGGTCTTCCTCTGCCCACTGGTCTGTATTGATAAATTTTGTATGGCATGAGGAGGATTTATTTATTTATTTTTTTGTGCCAGTGCTGGGATTTGAAATCAGGGTCTGGACTTGCTCAAGGCTGGAGTTCTACGACTTGAACCACAGCTCTACTTCCAGCTTTTTGAGGGCTAATTGGAGATAAAAGTCTCACACACTTTCTTGCTTGGGCTGGTTTTGAATCATATCCTCAGATCTCAGCCTCCTGAGTAGCTAGGATTATGAACCATCGATGCCCAGTTTGAGAATCATGTTATAAATATCCAAATGGCTATTGGCCGAAAAAAAGGTTCCCATCCCTGTTGCTGAAGGCTGAGGAAATGGAGTCAAGGTTGGCCCTGATTTTGCAATTTTCTCCAGATACCCAACTGATTGGGCCAACACATTCAAACGTGCACACACACAAAGGCATATTCAGATACATGCTTGCATTTACAAACTGTGTTTACCAAAACTCACCAAACTAAAGACACATCCAGCCCATGTCACCATCGATTAAGTTTGTGGCTCATTTCTCTCTTCCTCTTCCTTCTTATGCCCACTGCCGAGCCTCAGGATAGTTGAACAGCATTCCCACAAGATACCCTGGCTCTTTAAACACTCACCCACCTCCCACTGACATGATGATTGGAATCAACTTCCCTAACATTAGTTTCTACTTAAGGAAGAATCTAACGCAATTAACAGAAGGTGGTGGAATCCAGTGAGCTCCCTTCCGCTTGAGAGAGAAAGGCAGTAGGTACCTTTAGGCTTGAGACCAGGCTGGCCTGTAGGCTGAGATCCCTGGACACCTCCAGCGTCTTTCTATCCCCTCTCGGAGCTGGCTCACACACCAAATGCACACCCAGGGTCCACCCAGTCAGAAGGACAGGCCTGTGGGCTCCTTGCTCCTGCATGAACCAGAGATTACAGTAACAGGTGGGTACCCATGGCCTGAGCCATCAGGCAACGTTGCTCAGCCTTCCAGAGAGAGGAGAAGGGGCAAGCCACTCAGCCTTGGCCAGTTTGCCAGAGGAGGAAAATTCCTTCCTGACCCTGACTGGAATCATCAACTTTGCTCTGGGCATGTGACCAAATATCTACCCAATTAAGCATCTAGAAATGGATTGTTTATATGTCAAAATATCGCCATGCGGAACAAGGCCATGCATGGGAAAGGGGTCGGGGTGGGGGTGGGGGAGGTTGGGAAGTACTTTCCCTAATCCATATGGGCAGTGCCATTGGAAAGAAAACACATTTTTCCTCCCCCAAATCTCCAGTGACACTTGAATGTCCACTGTGCCCTGAGCCCCGGAACAAAGTAGGGTCAATTTCCCACTCTGGAGATTTCCCCAAGAAGGGCAGACTCAGGAACACTCAGGGCAGCATTTCGACACTGGCTGTGAAAAGATTGTGGGTTGGGTGCTTGAGTGTTTGTTCTGGAAGAAAGCACGGCAGCTGTGAGCACCACCTTGTTGATGGCTGGTCATGTGAGTCTTTATTTTTCTTTAAGTAGTTTAGAGACCTATCATGTTTGTTTGTTTCTAGCTGTTTTTTATTTTTAAATCAAAGGTGCCCAAAAGACTCATAAAAGGAACATCATATAATTTCCTGTGGGTTTCAGGCCGAGCTCACAGGCTTTGGGTTAACTACATAGGATCAGGAGTTACGTCCTGCCTTTGTGACTCAAGGCAAGGAACATGGGATACATTTCTAACAACCCGACGGGGATTCTGCATTTTTTTTTGCTAAAATTCTTGATTTTTTTTTTGTACTGGCATACTATGTAAACATTCATGACCTGCTCGGAACTTCTGTTTCCTCACCTTAAAATGGGGATTTTAACCAGGCTTCTGTGGCTCATGCTTATAATCCTAGCTGTTCAGGAGGTTCAGATCTGAGGATCATAGTTGTGAGACTTTTATCTCCAATTAACCACCAAAAATCTGCAAGTAGAGCTGTTCCTCAAATGGTAAAGTACCAGTCTTGAGTGAAAAAGCTGAAGGACTGAGCCCAGACCCTGAGTTGAAGCCCCAGTACCAGCAAAAACTAAAATAAAATGGAAATTGTAGTATGCAATCCCCAGAATGCTCTACAGAGTAGTTTTTAATATATGCAGAAAACTTGGCATATACTTATGTTCATCAAGAAAAAGCAACACCATCTAATATATCTAAAATCTTAAAAGTTGCTATTTTGCCAACTTCTGAGAAAAGAAGACAACACAATGGTGAGAAATCCTGTCACAAATATCTTAAATCATAAAAAGAACCTTTTTACGGAGAACACAAAACCTTCCAAGCTTCCACTTGGATGGGCGAACAGCCGCTTACCCTGGATCTTTAGACTAGAACATAAGGCTGTCTGAAACATAAACCACGAACCTTCGCAGGTCCCAGTTCCCTCATTTCTTAAAAAGGAAGAAGTTCTGCCCAATGATCTGTGACTCAGTTTACAGTTTAAGACATTCTCAGCCCACCCTAGCTCCACTTTGGGGAGGGAGCATGTACTACCAGTTGCTGCCAGCAGGGGGAGAACCCACAGAGCCTCCACATGCAGCAGGCGGTCTTTGAGAAAATTCAGTGGAAAAACCCTAATCATTGCTTTTCTGGAAGCATCTTATTCTCAGGGGCTGTGAGAAGGCAAAATGACATTCTTTTCAACTACGTTATACAGACAAGTTCCTTAAAAAACATCTCCAAATCGTCATAAGGCTGTTCTCTGTACCAAGGACCAATGGGAATCAGGACTGCAGTCAGCATTGGGGGAGGTGGTGGGCAGGAAAGCGGATATTTTTCTATGTAAAATCCAGCTTTTCCTTTTAAAGACAGCTCTGGGAGGGGAAGAGCATTGAACACGTGGACACTTTCTTCTCTCTTCCTTCCCCTTGGTCTAATCAAGGGATCCAGAGAGATCTCTGGGGCTGGTGAGACAGGGTAGCCTGAGGAGGCAAAAATCTCTCTCATGCAAGCCGTTAAAGCAGACAGAGTTAAACAGCTCCTGGGAGGCCCTGTGACTGCCTTTTGGAGGGGCTGCTGCTGGGGCTATAGACAGACAAACAGACTCAGGTCCCCAGGCTGAGCCTCTGCACCCTGATACCCCTATAGCAATTCATCCAAAAGAGCAAAGGAAAAAACAGCTTACGTGAGGGCAGCTGTGGCTAGGTCCAGAGAGAAGGTTTTCAGGGCAAGAGAAGGAGGCGCTCCCGGCACCAGCAGACGGTAGAAATAAAGGCACCTGTAGCCTTGTGATATAAGTGACACCTACAGACAGGTCCGTTTGGTTTTTCAGGTTTATGCACAGCCCCTTTGATGACGGTGACATACAGTGTGACACGGCTCCTTGGGGGGGGGGGTGGTTCTTACATGCAGAAAGTTTACCTTTATCCTGCTTTTGTACCTAGTTCACTACCCCTTAGCCCAGGACAGTAAATACGCAGAAATTTCTTGCCCCTAGGAGATCTGTGGGATCTAGGCTTTGCTGAAGAATTCTCCTTTGAGCACACTTGCAAGGGAAACTAGAAATCCAGCTCTGGTATCTGGACATGTGGCCTCCTTCCTGGCTTGGCCAAGTCCTGGGTCTTTGGGTGTCATGTCATTTCCCCTTTGTGTCTGTATGAGAGGAAGGAAAGGCAGGGTGGCGTAGTGGGTAAGGACAGCAGGTTTGTAGTGAGATGCCTTTGGATTCATGTTCTGGGTCCATCATTTTTTTTTTTTAATGGACTGTGTTACTTGGCGTAAGTTAATAAGCCGATCTGGATTTCTCTGTATAATTCAACAATGGCACTTGATGTCTGGGAGGGTTAACTGAGATGATGGAGCACCCCATAAGCCCTTCCTTAGCTGGTACCTGAACAGCGTCTCCTTCATAGTTAGAATGTCCCTTCTCACTTTTACCTCCCTCCTAGGTGGACAGAATAGTGGGCTTGCAGGATGATCTCTGAGACTTTTCTCTCTCAGAGCTAGACAGGGCTTTGGGCATAAGAAGCCTACATGGTTCGGAGGTTCTGAGCAATGGTGCCGGTGGCTTTCTCCCTTCCTCCTCTGGCTGCATTGCAGAGGAGACATAAAGGTGCCTGGTGATAGATATCCAGAGCTCAAAGGCTGGGGCAGGGAGGGAGAACGGGGAGGGGGATGACCAGGCTGCCAGTTCCCCATGTGTCTCAACTGAGAACGCCCCACTTTTTTGAGCTTCCCCCGGAGAGCAGAACTCAGCTTAATAGAGAGGCTGAAATACAGGGCCCCAGGTGACTGGCACCCACTGCCTTTCACACTGGGCTTCCAGCAATCTCGGTAACCAAGATGCTGTGTCCAAAGTGTAGACTACAAGCTTTAAGGTAGAAGCAGGCATGGGTTTGTGAGGGTTTTCTTGGGAGCACTGGGCAGGCGCAGGAACACATAAATACAAATACATGGAAGAATCTGGGGGAACAAAAGGCTGTTCATTTGATGAGTCAGGTGTCATCATGGAAAAATAGTTGGGGAAAGATAAGAGGACCTGCTCAGGCCACTGACTTGGCTGCATTAACCTCAGGCAAGTCAGGCAACTAGCTTCTCTGGGTTTTACCCTAGTGGTAAAAGGAGAGGCTGACATTAGGATAGTGATTTTCAAAGTGTGCCTGCAGGATTGCCAAGGGTTCCCCCAGGGATATCTAGAAAACTGTTGGGGTGAGAAGATGGGGATGGGAGGGGACTGGAGTGAGGTTCTGGGTACTCCCCCCACCAGGGCTCAATATGAACGCCTCAGCCTTTCTTTGTTTTCTTTCCCTCCCTCCCTCATTCCTTCCCTCCCCTCTTTCCTTCCTTCCCTCCTTCCTTCCTCTCTGTTCTTGAACTCAGAGCCACTCTCTCTGGCGTGGCTTTTTTACTCAGTGCTGGTGCTGTACTATTTGAGCCACAGCTCTCTGTGTCCAGCTTTTTGCTGGTTAATTGAAGATAAGAGTCTCATGGACTTCTTCTTCCCAGGCTAGCTTCCCATCGCAATCCTCAGATTTCAGCCTCCTAAGTAGCTAGGATTACACCCTAGTTGAGCCAGCAGTGTCCAGCTCCTCAGCTTCTCTTTAAATCATCCATGTAAGTTTTCATTAAAAAAAAAATAAAAGAATCCACACTGGAAGAGTTTACACAGCAGTGGTTTAGAGGGTTTGTGGACTCGTTCAAGCTTTGGCTTTCGGAGACTTGGCCTTTCCTCCCAAGTCTCTCTGACTCCCTCACATTGCTGTGTTCTCTGCTGTTGAGTGCCTCTCCTATTCCCCCAACTCCTGCACAGGTACATTCCAGGAAAATGTATTCTTCTGCTAGAATTCTTAGAAAAGAGTCTTTTGCAGAAAGGACTCCCCTACCCCCATGCTCTCTTGACTTGAATTATTCAGGAATAGGACATTTTCTGTCAACCAGTATCTGACAGTCCGTCTGTCTATGTCTGTCTCATGGTCCTGAGTGTGCCATGAAGCATCTCTGGGTGACGAGTGTGGGAAATTACAGGCTTCTCGGACAATGAAAAAAAGGAGGTTAAGATAAAAAGCAAGATAAAAGGGGAGTTTGACTCTAATTAAGGTTAACCATCCCATTTAATCTAAATTTGATTGGAATGGAGATTTTGGGTGATGTCAAACAATAAGCTTCTAAACACTACATGATGAACATTGCCTGGAGACAAGAGATGGTGTGGAAGAGGAAGGAAAAAGGGCTGCAGATGGAAGGAAGGGTTGGAATGTTCTAGAACCCCATTCTCCTTCTGCTGTTTCCAAGTGGCACATGGGGGCTATCATCAGGCTTCTCACAGGAAGTGAGCGGCTAAGAGGGAACTCCCTGGCTTTGAATTCCTGCTCTGCCTGGCTGTAGGGAGGGATGGCGCTTCAAAACCTACATGACCTTTCTGCAAATGGGGGAAAACAAAAAGAACCGAGCTCTTACAGGATGGTTGTGTGAATTAATGAGCCAAAACCCAGGGTGTTTGAAGAGCCCTACAACTATCTTAATTATGTCTGGACCTCTTACATAAAAGCCCCACAAACCTTTAACAAGGGAGTTGCTTGTTACTTATTGCATTCATTTTTCAGATTAAGAAGTCAAGCGAGATACAGAGAAGTTAAGTAACTTGCTAACAGCGATAACTAGAGCAAGTATTACATAGGCCAAGTGCCTGCCTCTAGAGACCATCCTCTTTTCTGTGCTAACTGGTTTTAGGTGCTTCTGGGAGCAGAGCAGGGGAAGGAAGGAAGGAATAATGTATGCATGCCACATCTTCTTAATGTACCAAGGATTGTGTTTACCTATCGACCTTGGTTGTTTTCCACACTGTTTCCATGAGGAATCATTGGAAAAGTGAGCTATTTTTGAGATGTACCACCTTACCTGGGGTTCAGCTAGCTAGCAGGTCAGGGGCCAGCCCAGGGCTGAACTGAAGCCTGCTTAGTGTTAAAACTACACTGTAGAAGCTGGAGGCCCCATTTGGCCTCTCTACCTTGTTGACCTTAGTTTTGGCCCCTCTGGACCCCTCTTTCTATGGTTCAAGATGTCTGTCTCTTGTCATTGATGGCAAAATCCTGACATCTCGTTGAATCAGTACCTGCTGTGGTTCTTAGGATAGGTGCTCAAAGCTGGGGACACGTAGCTCACACCTTTAATCCTTGCTACTTAAGAGGCTGAGATCTGAAAATCATGATTTGAAGCCAGCCCAGGCAAGAAAGTCCATTAACTCCAGTTAACCACCAAAGATCTGGAAAGTAGAGCTGTGGCTAAAGCAATTGGGTACCAGCCTTGAGTACAAAAAGCCAAGTGAGAGGGAGAGATCTTGAGTTCTAGTACTGGCACCAAAAGCCAACAATCAAACAAATAAACAAAGAGAAGACACTAAGACACTCGATATGTACATATGTTATGGAATCATATAACCAGAAGGATATGTGGCTGGAGGAACCCACCTAATTCTTTACAAGATCAAACAGGCTGACATGTCTCCTGCTTTTCCTAGGATGCCCTCTAGGTGAACACACCTCCCCCCTCCAACCTGCCACCATTGCCACTAGTTCAAGATGCAGCATAAATGGAAGAGAAAAGTGAAGTAAAAGGAAAAGTTTTAGTGAATCCTAGATGATGCCATCAGGAGTGATCTGCTGGATGTGGGGCATAGACAATCATCCATGGAGAGATCACATGTTTTCAATGTTCTACTGGCTCAACTACTTAAGGACACAAGGTTTTCTACCACTGGATGGGCATGATCACAAACTCACACCTGACACCTGACACCTGGCTCCTGAGAGACACTGGGTGAGGCTTCTCAGGATTCAGTCTCCTCACTTGTGAGGCAGCAGCTATGGTTTCTGACTCATGGTCCTTTTTTAAAATACCAGTCCTAGAGCCTGAACTCTAGACCTGGGCACTGTCCCCTGAGCTTTTGTACTCAAGGCTAGCACCCTACCACTTGAACCACAGCTTTACTCCTAGGTGTTTGGTATTTATGTGGAGATAAGAATCTCAGGGAACTACCCAGCCTAGACCTTCTCAGATGTCAGCCTCCTGAGTAGCTAGGATTATAGGTGTGATCCACTGGCATCCAGATTCATGGTACATTTTAACAAATGACAGCTTTTGGATGGGGAAAGGAGGGAGACACAGGGATTTTATTAGACTCCACCCATTCCAATCTTTGAGCATCACCCTAGCAGGTGGAATGATACTGTCCTTCTCCAGTGAATAAACTTAACAGCTGTCTTTGCTTTGCTGGGCATCTCCTGGATGCCAGGAACTGTCTAGGCATGCTCATGTATTAAGTCACCACCTAAAATTTACCCATAGGGAAATACAGGCAGAGAGCGCTTGAGTAACTTGCTCAGTGTCACCACAGCTGGCAGAACAGAAAGCAGGATTTGAACATGGGATGCATGGCCACAACCACCAACTTCTGATATCATTCGGTACGTCATAGGCAGGCAGATGACACGAGAGAGACATGATTGTCTGAGCTATCTCAGGTTGCTGGAAGGATGTTGGACAGTGTGAGCTGTACATCGTTTTGTCTCTTTCTTTTTAGTGGTACCGGAGATTGAAAACAGGGCTTACTCTACTACTTGAGTCCTACTTCCAGTCCCTTCTTATATTGGTTAATTTTGAGGTAGGATCTTGCTTTGTGCCAGAGCTGGCCTGGATTTTCATGCTCCCACTTGTGTTTCCCATGTCAATAG